TCTGCGAGTTCTTGTGAGAAATCGTGACCACTGGAGTCCGGACACTGTTCGGGTGTGAAGCATTGCACACTGCAGTCGTAATGAGGTTGTGCAATACTGTGAATTAATCGAAGTAGGATATTAACACCGTTAGATACCAGCTCAGTGGTTCATAGGTTATGCGTGCGCGAACAAGACCAAAGGTGTTGGATTGATTACCATACCAGAACGAAACAGCCGTCCCAGTTCTACCAGGTTTATAATGGTGGTCCAACATTGATCGATTAGAGAAGTAGGTATGCACCTCACTTCTACACGAATGAAACTTTGATGATGTTGTTCCAAATGATAATGAAAGCTCTGTAATTAAAGCTTTTAGTTTAAAGAATTCACCTACATTAAAAACGTTTCAGTAGTCGATTTTATTTCTTTAACCTAACTAACAATTATTTCGTTCATTGTTCTCAATACAGTCATAAATAAATATTCTTTATAAATAGTATTTTTAAAAAAAGATAAACAATGACTGAGAACTATCACGTTATAGTAATATAATTTAATGTAGTAATGAACTACTTATTATCTTATATTTAATATCGCACATCTGATTTATAAGCAACAGCTACTCACCTCTCAAAATCATTGTTGGGGACGTTAGATCCCCAGAACTCGCTTCATAAATTCCTTTGTTATGGATTTCATGTTTCCGAGCATGGGCTGATCAGTTGACCTTGAGATTTTATTTCCCACCAGGAAAATCCTTGGTTGTGATTGGTTGATGTGTATTTTAGTGTGCTATTTTTGTGACTCTTCCAATGACGCTTCTATGGTGTATAAATAAACGCGATTTGTATGCTTGAATACATTGTGCTTTCTGGTCGTTTTTAGAATATATTTTCTACGCTATATCAAGACTTTTTTGGTTAGTCATCGGATCAGGGCAGCCTACCTGAACGCTGGTTCATATACACTCAGTTCCTGATTGGTAGAGCTTAACCTTATTGAAATTGAAGTAGCCAATACTAATGGTATTGGATTAACATTGCACTATGTCACAAACTGATTGAAGTTAGAAATATTTACTATTAGATACTAGTACAACAGTCAATACGAAAAGTCAAAACGTTGAACGATACACATCTAGATCAGATTTCACGTTGTTTATAATCGACTGACAAATTGAATAAGAAGTATGTACAATGATATTCATGTAGGATCTAAACTGAGGTTTGGACTGAGGAATAACTATCCAGGTAGTTTAGATACGCGTTTTGCCCAGTTTAAAACCAAAACAAGTGATTTGGGTAAATAACGGTTCTAATATTCATCATAAATATAAATATACATCATTACCTAAACAAATATTACCACTCAGTTATTCCACCAACAATTGTCCAAGTATTCAAATAAACAGTAACAAATAAATGATATTCTATCCCTCCTGGATAGATCAGATTCGTTCGACAGATAATATTCGGTTGCTTTATAAAACAGAGTGCTTCTTATTCTGGAAGAGTGCTTAAATTCACAATCAAAATGAACAATTCCAGTCAGTGCAACCGACACAATCAAAAGCGGAACAAATCAATATGGATGACGTCATAACTAAGTATCAGCTTAAACAACATAATGCAGTTCAGAAAGAAACATAGAAACTCAGTAAAGGCAAAAGAAATGGAAACTATAATAAAATACAAATACTATCATCTCAAATGAAATCGAACAGGCTAACAAAATGTACAACTGAAGGAATCGATAATGACAAATTACAAATGGAGGGATTTTCCTAAACAAAGCCTTCAAAAATGGATCTTACATTCATGACGTGAACAAATTTGTAAATTAACATGTTTTAAATATTTCTTACATACAGTAGGACGTTTCCTCTGTTTTTTCAGAAACAAATGCATTTATGGAATGTAAACTGTAAAAAGAATAGAAAACAAATGTTGACCAATGGTTTTGCTTCATAATAATATTACTTAGTTACACTTGTTACCCCGAATGGAACACAGACTGTCCAATGTGTTTCACTGATTCTACGTACCACCAATTTATATCTTTCCATTTTTGCAGCCACTCTCGCAGTCTCCCACATTGTACAAACGTTCCTTTCAACTAAATTAATGGTTGCTTTCGTTATCAGAGGGGACATCGTCCTCGTAACTTCCGAAGAAACTCGACTATCATCATGAGACGTTATAACTCTTCTAAATGAAGACCTTATGACTCCCAGGGCAGATTTTAATTAGTTTGAAATATTTTTTTGGGTTGGAGCTTTTTTAAAGAGGGGTGTCCATAATCTTATGCTCAACCCTCCTCCTTTATCCGTGCTTGGGAGCGGCAGTAGCCACAGAGGGGCTCCAGGCGGAGTTATAATAACATCGGGTATAAAAAAAGATACAATTATTCCATGATATATGATTATTAAAACTATGAATTTGAATTTCGTAATTCTTCAATAAGCCTATATTTACATAAAAAAAAATAAAAAATCTAAATATTAGTTGAATTCCGCATCATTTTTATCTACAACATTGTTACATAACCAAGATGTTTAATGTCGGTAAGATTTTGTCAACCGACGATGTTTGTTTTAATAATTTTGAATGTAATATTAAAGCTTTAAAAGTTGTATCATAATGAAAATATGTTACATGTTTATTGTTTGCTATAAAACATTTCATTTTACTTGGAGAAAAAAAATGCGCCACCTACTTCATGAACTTTTACTCCTTACAGACTAACAATTCAAACAGTACATCCATATATGTAGGTATATTTCCTTGGATTTCTTCAGGTACCCTTTAAGTTTATGGTTGACATAAGCAAACGGACACATTCTCTTGTATATATATATATATATATATATTGAAGTAATTGATAAAGTAATTTTCCTGCTAAACATTTTATTCGTCATGTTTTCAACTATATTCTGCATTATCAAATTTTAGTGTTGGTCGACAAATTATTATTATATACTGACTATCAGGTTTAAATTTGTTACATTTTCTTGATTATTTCAAAGAACCGCTGATCTGCTTTTCAGTTCAGTTACAAAATCAACAAAAATTATTATTTCACTTCAACAGAATATTTTTTTCATTGAAGTATTCACTTGAACTGTTTGTTTCTATATAATTCAAATAAATAGGCATTTTGTTAGCAAAAAAAGATAGGGATCAATTTTACAGGGTCTGAGTCAAACCACAAAGACTGATTTAAAGACAAGAATATTTCCCTAATAATTTCATGAAAGTAATTTAAAAACTGTCTTTTTTCGAGTTATTTGATGTCCAAACTACTGAAAACAATTTAAACACATTTTCAAACTCACTCTGTACTTCGGGAAGATTTATCATAACAACTAATTGATCACTGAGTAATCATCCACTCTAAATATCTTGCTCTTGAAGGAGGTCAGTTACTGTTCGGCTAGCTCAGTGGTAGCATTTTTAGAGTGTGAAGTTAAATGATCCATGGTTGAATAAGCTGAGAAGTACCAATTCCTCTAAATTACAAGCCCACCTTGTTTTTATTAAGTCACAGACAACAAAAGACCACTGCTCTATATTTTCCTATTGACTACATCAATTCACTAAATAATATTTTTACAAAAAGGTACACTAATTTGTACATTTCGAATTGAAACATGCGATCGATAAATATTATCATCATCATATCGTATCGATAATAACAATTAATGATTTTAATACTTAATTACTTACTGATAGTAAGTAAATGAGAACAATAAAAAAAATGCATGATGTCTATAGAATGTCGCTGTAATCGACAAATAAAAGAATATTATCATTAAATGAAATAAGCTCATAAAAATGTTTTCATTTCACTACTTTATATAATACATTAAAGTATCAATCACTAGAATCAAGCTAAACAATACCGGAAATCATTAAGAGTGGAAATATGGTGTAATTTGACAAGTAATTTTAAAGAAGCGTAAGTATTTATTGGAATAATGAAGTAAAGGATATAAAAATAATAATATCAATGATTTACGACTCAGGTACTTGTTTTTATACAACGTTTCTGCTTACTTAAAAATTAAGTAATGAAGAAAACGTTGTAAGATCTCGAAACATCATAATAAATAATTTTGAATACAAGTATATTTAGTGACAGAATTTAGCCAAATCTCCGAGGATAGAACACTAACACACTAATCTTTACCCTTGAAAAACCATGGTGGTAGTTCGTCGTCTTGTAAAAAATCCAAAGTACAAGAAGTAAGATACTTACTTTTACAGTAGAATGTGATCCTCATAGAGTCTACTAGATGGCATATGAGATTAGAAATTCATACATGTCAGTAAAATGTTAGCTAATAACATTTATCTTGTCACTTCTACTAAACGGTACTTAAATACATCTTTGATTTTATCCCGTCAGAATTGATCATACTCAACATTTATGTCAGGTTCTTTATCACTCTTTCTGTTTAAATAACTGTTTAAAACCAAAGTGTTCGGAGAAAAGCCAAGTTCTTCACCAGTATAATCTTTTCTATAGTTATAATTTAATTAAACAAGGCTCTTCTTTCTACATTGAATGTAGTTTACCAAAAATGTGTTTACATTCTACAGATGAGTAGTTTTGTTAAAATTTTGCTGTTTTATACCATAGTCAGTCAGTCAGATACAACGTAGAACTTCATACGTAAGTACAACAGTTCATGTTGCCATACCACATCAGCACAGAGATGTCAATTCAAATCCAATTGTAGAAGAGGTAGTAAAGGTATCAGAAGTAATCGGAGAGGTTAGGATTAGAAGATATTATTCAAGAAGTATGATTAAATGAGAAAAGTTTAGAAAGTCAAAACTAGAGGGGTTGAAGAATCCAGAAGATTAGCATTTGAGAGAACACAAAGAATAAATGCTCTGCCGCCATTGCGAACGATTTTGAGCCATGTCATTCAAAGTCTCTAACAATCGATTGTCATCATCTCGCGGACCCCAACCTGGTAGTCGACAACTACCGAAATGGCTAAGTCCACTGGTCAATAACTTCATGGATTTCTGCAAAGTTTTGGTTTGGCTGCCCCTAGCTTTCTTCCGACCTATTCCTACACTACAAAACAAAGCTCGTTGAGGCAGTCGGTGGTTAGGCATACGCAGCACATGTCCCAACCACCTCAACTGATGAAGTTTCATTACTTCATCTATTGATCTTCCATTCTTACCTAGCGCCCGATCCCTAATAACAGCGTTTCTCACTCGGGTATCCCAGCCTTGTCAATAAAATAAACTGAATGAATCTGAATTTGTTAAATTATCCAACTTCACATTATAAAAAACAATAATGGAATATGACAGAGTGTGATCAGCTGTAATATTCATCCTTTTTTCTGTTTGATACAATCATAGCATGTATATATCATCACATTGTGCACAATGATTAATGTTTTTGTCTAATATCTCCCGAATGTTTTAATTTCAGATTAGAAAACTGATCTAATCAATAAAACAAATTTGTGGGGGATCAAATATAATATGAATAGGCTAATTCAATTCATAATTTACTATTTCCATAGTATACTTTGTATCAAACAAATTTATGCGAATATTCAATGGATCAATCCAATTCACAGCAATAATAATTATAATAATCATACTTCACAAATAACAAATTATTCAAATCAAACTAATCAATATTATCGATCATATCATAAATTAGCCTTAGATAATAATATGAATGATCAATTCAATCAAATTTATTCATCATATAACAATTTAAATTTCAATTGGGAATCCAGTGCAAATCGTATCACAACGGATTGGGCAGAAAAACGTTTGATTAAAGATTTATTATATGATTATGAAAAGCAATCAAGGCCAGTTGTTGATGATTTAACACCAAGAGTTCATGTGACCAAAACACAAGTCACACAACAAATTACTGTAGAATTTGGACTAGAATTATTACAAATATTAGATTTAGATGAAATGGATCAAATTTTAACAACAAGTGTTCGATCATTATATGTAAGTCAAATAAACAGTGAATAAATATTACGTTTCTTTTTAATTTAGTAATTTACTTATTGGTTCATTGATTTAATTTATATAAATGATTCACTTTTGTTTTATAGGATACTTATTTACTGATAATTATTATTATCATTGGAAATTCCTATTATGTATATGAAAACAATACAGAGATTAGGTCCAGAGGTTAAGCTTTCACGCACAAGATCGAAGGTCCTGGGTTCGAATCCTGCGAGGCAAAGGAGTCGTGGAGACGCACCGCCGATGATTCCCTCTACCAGGTCAAAACGGTTGTCCAGTGCTTTCAGGTTCCGAATGGTGGTCCAATAATGATTGGTTCATCCATGATTCTTTAATGAACAACCATACATATAAGTAAAGAAGTAGAATTTAGTACACAGTAATAATTATCTGCATACCCAATAGGTTACCACGTACTTCATTTCATGTTTGAGAAAAAGTTACTACTCATCGCCATTCCATCACACTTCGACGATAACTTTCATGTAGTATTCAGAGTAGTTTATTACATACTTTCTAACATTCTCTATGCCATGCATGCATCAATAGTCACAGAAATTCAAGTCCTCTAATTGTAATCTCTATATCTCATAAAGAAATTTTTTGATGCTTCCATTTCTTCTTTGTCCACATAAAACTTGATAAATGTTTGTATGACTGTTTCACAACTTTTTGTTTATTTATACTTTTTCGTTATTGATTTTTTCAGTCAAATTACTTTTCACATATTTCTTTAATTACATAAGTTTTAAATGACAATTACTTGACCAAGTTTACTTTCAATTAGAGTTATAAAGATTAGTGTTTTTATACATTTGAAATCATCAATAAATCATTGTTAGACCACACCATTAGAAACCTGTAAGCACTGGACGGCCGTTTCGTCCTGGTATGGGACTCATCAGAAGTGCGAATTCTCGACTCCTGCACCTCGCCGGATTCGAACCCGGGACTTTCAGTATTGTGCGCGAATGCCTAACCATTGGACCACTGAGCCGGTATCCAACAGTGTTAATGTCTAACTCTGATTGATCAAGGGATTTTGCGCGACCTCACTCATTTGTCTTTGCTAGTTACTGCCAACACTAGACAGGGTTGAACTTCACATGTCACATCTTCTCAGTAGAACTCCGAGAATTTCCTTACGAAGCTAGTCACAAGTGAGCACATTTTACGATATTTTCAATTAGAGTTATTTAGATTAGTGTTTTGTTTTACACATTTGAAATCATCAATCAATCATTGTTAGACCACCATTAGAAACCTGGAAGTTCATCTTGTTTAGCTTTAATCTACTTCCTATATATCATTATTATTTACTCGTATTGCTGTACTGTTTATTATTCGTGCATTTATTAATATGCCTATCAGATGATTTTCAATATTCATTGTTTATTTACTGTAACTTGTTATGTCATCATTTCTCATTGTTATCATTGACCCATCAATCAGATCGATTGGTTCAATATTTTTTCCATGTATTCATATTATGCATTCGAGTAAAGTCTAATGAAGATATATATATATATATATATATATATATATATATATATATATATATATATATATATATATATATCAGCTACTTACAACCATATATGTAATAAATAGGTATGATATAATATGAAGCAATTGAGATTGATGCCGGAAGTAATTCGATTGATATACATGAATAGCAAAATAACGATATTTTTCTGTGCTTGAACACGAATGAGGTTATTTTAGAAATGAAGTTCAAACGAAAACATAAACAAGGAATGAGATCATAGTTAACTAAAGTTAGGAAACTGATAAGATATTTAGTGCGACAATGAACAGAAGTAGTAATTGTAGGGTTACGTAATAAGTAAGCAAGATTTAACAAGAAGTTACATAAGTTTTAAGAAGCAGTTGAGTAGAAAAATGATTTTGGAGTACATAAAACAAGAATTAATTTGGCGAAGGTTACATAACAAAATAAGAACAAAAAAAATGGCGACAGTAATGACAATGAGAAAAAATAAAAACTGAAAAGTTGCCAAGACAGTAATCATAATTTGATTATGGTTTGGATACGTAAGTCAAATTTAAGTTTTATCCGATAGTTACTGTTTAGGAAAACCAAAGAAACACCGCGCTCTTTTTTGTCTGCTGATGATTTTCAATGATTGGAAGATGTCAATGTCATGTGTCAAGTATCAAATTAGTTTTGACGAAGATATCAACGTTTCACTTGTCGTCATTGTCGTTTGGACGTTGAAAGATTTCAGGGTATAATTTAAACATCATTAATTTACCGGATATAAATCTGACTAATTGACTGACTATAGTCGTTACTTAATGAGCTTATAATACTTAAGTGTATATGAAAAAAATGTTTATTTTTTCACACATCTGAAATCATCAATCAATCATTGTTAGACCACACCATTAGAAACCTGGAATCACTGGACAGCAGTTTCGTCCTGGTATGGGACTCATCAGCAGTGCGCATGCAAGAATCCTGAACCTTGCAGGATTCGAACCCGCGACCTTCGGTCTTGCGCGCGAACACCTAACCTCTGGACCACTTTTTCATAGTTAGTTTTATTCTGAACAAATTCAGTCAAATGTAAAAAATGTACTTTAAAATAATTTATTTGAGCCTTATGCAGCTGATATGATGATGCTGATGATAAGATTAGAATATTTTAATTTGAAGACAACTTAACCTTTTAGTCATTGTGTTCCCTAGAAAGTTTTCGGTCAATTACTTATTATCTCAATAAAATTAAAATGAAAGGTTTATTGAAATCAATCACACAACACTTATTTTAGAATAAATAAATTATTTGAAAATCATTATTCAGTGAATACTTAGAATGAAATATTATTTTTTTGTTCAGGAAAAAATATGAATTAACTGAAGAGGATTTTATTTCTAGAAAAAAGGAATTATTTTCAGTAGAAAATCATTTTGACATATGTTTTGTCTTAGTATGAGAATTCTTGGCAATGCTCTTCCACGACCCTATAGCGCTTAACCTTTAGACGATAGAGTTATCATTCAACAGTTTACAGATTTACCTTTAGTCAATTTGTTCACAAAATATGAAAACGCAATAATCTCTTAAATCCCCTTCATATACATAATTATGAAAGAAATAATATGACAGTGCGGGGTGGCTAGTAACGATACAACTTCTTGCCTTATAATTGATATATTCAAGACTACATTTGCGATTGCAGCTACACTTATTGATTGTTAAGATAAATGTTCCAATGTGGTTTGTGGCTCGAGATTGTTTTTACAGTCATAATAATACTTATTTCATTCAACCTGATATGCATGTAATATTAAACTTCCCTGGTAACTTTATCATCTCGGTACTTACTTACTTACTTACTTACTTACTTACTTACTTACTTACTTACTTACTTACTTACTTACTTACTTACTTACTTACTTACTTACTTACTTACTTACTTACTTACTTACTTACTTACTTACTTACTTACTTACTTACTTACTTACTTACTTACTTACTTACTTACTTACTTACTTACTTACTTACTTACTTACTTACTTACTTACTTACTTACTTACTTACTTACTTACTTACTTACTTACTTACTTACTTACTTACTTACTTACTTACTTACTTACTTACTTACTTACTTACTTACTTACTTACTTACTTACTTACTTACTTACTTACTTACGCTTGTTACCCCCAATGGACCATAGGCCCCCCACCAGTTTTCTCCAACCAACTTTGTCCTGGGTTTCCCTTTCCAGTTCTGTGATGTGCCTAAAAGAATGGTTGCTCTGGTTGTCAGAAGAGGCATCGGCCCCGTGACTTCCGAGGGAACTCGGCTTTCATCATGCGACGTCATAATTCTTCTTCCAACTCTCAGGGCAGAGTTAAAATGGTTCGAATTATTTCTTCTGGTTAGCGTTTTTTTGGGCAAGTTAGTTTTTTGACGGGATGGGTTCGCCAACCCCATGCCCAACCCTCCTCCTTTATCCAAGCTTGGGACCGGCAGTAGCCCCGAAGGGTCTACAGGCCGAGTTACCTCGGAACATAAGTAATAAAAAAGATGACTAACATGTTTTCCTGAATAATCTGAGCAACAATGTACTAGAATCCCAGTTCGACAGTTGACCTGTTTCATGAATCTACAAAATGATCAATAAACAACAATCAAGGCTGTGACGTTTGCCGCTCAGCATACCAAATAAAAAATCTCTCTTCAAGCACACTGATATCAATAATTGGTAGAATGCGAAACATACAAATGTATAATTAATTAGCAAACGTTTGCGAATAGTAATATGTATTACACAACAACAGTCAATCAATTCACTGAATGTTTACAGTAAGAGGTAATGTAGAAATAGATACTTAGAGTGGGTTTTATTTTGCCTTTTTGTAGTTTCTGTTCGATAAACTATAAAAAATGTTTGGTTAAGATACTGTTCATTCGTGTGCTGAAACTACATGCATAGGAATAGATTAAAAAGGAATTAACTTTAGTCGATAAGTGTTAGCGAGATATTTAGTGGCCATAAATATTTATCAGTAAAATTATAAGAAAACAAGAACAAAGAGAATGAACTATGCTATGGTCATGAAAAAGCTGACTTTTATATGCTATAATCAATTGGCAATAACACTAATTTTGAACTAGGTGTAGAGCTGAAAACAGTGTTTATGGACTAAAAATACACTACTGGATATCCATTTCGTATTGTTGTATGACTGACTAGTTAGTCAGTATTGTGCTACCGTTCCTCTGAAATCCGAACTAAGCACTCAAATTATAGGATTTTATTTACAAGGCTACCAATTCACAATATCTGCCTCTAGGTTACTTTTATGAACCAGATGTAAAACAGCGTTAACGTTTAATTTTTATAGAATTCTATTACTGATAATGCAGAAATTAGTTATTAAACTAAACACGAAACGACATCATTATACATTATGCACAAACTTTAATTTCCATACTTCATG